AATCTATTATGTTACTTCACCTCTCTGGGTTAGCAGACTTTGGATCTGGGGCTCTCCACTTGAGAGCCAAAACCCAGAGACTTTGTGGGTGTAGAACTGGATGAGATACTGAGCTCTGCTTGAGTACTGTCAAAGCCTTGACCAAAACTTAAAGCTCTGTCTGTGGTGCTGGAAGTTTAAATTGGCTGAACTGATAAAAACTGCTTGGGGAAAGTTTATTGTAAAGCTGGCTGATAACAGCTTTAGTTTGGGTTGGTAAAACAGATTTTTAAAAAAAAATGTATTAATGTGTGAAATCCCCTGCAAGAGCTGACTCCTAGTATGGTTTTAAGACATGCCCAGGCCACCGAGTCTGTCCCTCCTTGGCAGGCCAACAGGGCTCCTGTGGTGATCACATCAAAAGCAGTGTCTAAGGTAGTGTTAACCAAGCAAAGATAAAATTTGTGCAACTGATTTGCAACTGCAAGAATATATTGCATCAGGTGCAGTTTGTTGCTCACTAAATTAGAGCCCTGGAAGGGAAACAGGACTTTAAGAATATAGGGAAGACACAAACACCTCCTATTTTACAAATTGCTTGTTATGTCAACCTACAGTGTTTACCCAACTGTTGTTAAGTTGGATAAATTTGTTTTCACCTCTCTTTCTGACTTAGCATTTCTAAATCACTTAATTTATGCAATTTACTGGCTGTGTTACTTGCTTAATGCTCTGTGTTTTCTCTTCATGCAGATTATTATGTACCTGCTGTCTCGCATCCTGTTTGGCTTGTCTCGGTTGGCAGTGGAAAAGGGCTATGTCCCGCAGCCCAAGCAGGATCCCTTCCCACTTGTCGCTGCTCTGTTATGGGGGACAGTTCTTTGGCTCTTCGAATATCACCGGCACACTCTGCAGCCTTCTCTGCAGTCCTCCATGACTTACCTGTATGACGATAGTAATGTATGGCACGACATTTCTGACTTTCTCATTTATAGCAAAAGGAGTACGAACAAGTAGCTGGTTCATTGTGAAGCGCCTTTGAATGGGGTAGTACATTCCAAAAACTAAGGAAAAGTGTTATTCTAATGTTCTGTACTGATGAACTTTGAAATTAACCTCTATCAAGCAGAGTTGCTTCTTGAGTCTTTGCCAAATTGTTCTGATTACTCCAGCCTTCTGTTGGCTCTGTTTAGAGCAAGTAAACCTCCCACAAAAACTTGCTGCAGTGCCTCAGTGGGAGAAAATTCTTTAGGAAACTTCAGTTAAAGTATGGATTTTTTTTTTCTTTTTTTGACCCTATTTTTTACTTACAGCTACATTAAAAAAAAAACTAAATATAAAACAAAAACCTGTGACAACAAGTGGGTGAAAATATTTCTGTAATCACTTAAAAATGTTTTAGGAATTTTCTTAATGCTTGAAAGTTGGAAGTGTTTTCTGTGCCACTGTGCCCATTGAAATGGAAACATGGGATCAGGAGGCCTGCTTAGTTCTGAAAGCAAGGGCATAATTTCATGATTTCTGTGAAATACCAGAGATCTAACCTAAATGACTACAAGTACAAATGTGTGCTCCTTAAGAGAGCTCCTGCAGGTTTCCCTCAGGGAGACAAGATGTTTGAGTGTAAAACTGCTAAGATACTGTGGTACAAGTTTGGTAAATCAGACTTGGAAGGACTGTTTTTTGCTCAGTTTCTCATGCACTTAGACTATATGTGTCCCTCTACAAAGTCCACTAATTTATATCCTCTAATTTATAAAATTTACTATTTTTAAATGCTGCTTGAATGAAATGCTGAAAATACATGGATAAGCAATTTAAACTCCTTAGAAAACAGACTGAAATGCATTGTATGCTCTCAGATATCAGACTGGGTGCTTTATTTGTAGGAAAGGTCTACAGTTTTAATTGGCACTTTTATTTTGGTGGAAGATGAGCATGAAGTTTTGTCTTGAGTCCAGCATCTTCCCCCCAGAGCAGTGGTACTTGTTACCTGCAGTCAGACTTAAATGTAGCTGTAGCTTGTCCAGACTTGATGCAGGGCCAAGTTGAGGCCATGGATGCACATACCAATAAGCATCCTTAAACATACACTTTTGAGTCCCATTAACAGTGCAACATAAACTGGATTTAAACAGAAGATCGGCTAGGTAGCTGTGAAAGAGATTTTCTGTTTTATCAGAAAAGCAGTCTTTTAATAATAAAGAAATCAAACTGTTAGTTGTATTAAGTACTTGCAGTGATATATGACACTATACAATTAATGATGCACATTAAAATAATTCCTGACACACTGTTTTTACGTGGTGATATTACAGGAGATTCATTAAGTGCTTGTGCTAATTGTTTCCCCTTTGTCTCAGGATTATTTTCCTTCCTTTCTGTAGGCCTTTAGTTGTTTAAACTAAGTTACCTCTCTCCATACCATCTGCTTTTCCATCCTGACCTGACCATGCCATTTTATTATGCTGCTGATTGTATTCTTTGAGATCCTTTTGCATCCTTTTATGCTCCAGGCTCCAGCCATTTGTCCTACTTAATGGTAGGACTAAAATAGTACATCTGTTATTTAAATTGTGGCAGCTTTTGAGGAGAAATTATTTTCAATTTCTTCTTAAGTATTTTTTGTTATTGCTGTTTTCCTGGGCTCTTTTGTCACTATTATACATTTTTGAGTGCTGTTTTGCTCTTCATTTTTTTCCCTCTGTATCAGCAAGATGGAGAGTGAATTTTTCCACTTCCAATAATCTACCTGTTGTTGTGATGTTCAGGATAAAATCCCATCCTGAGTGGTTTGGGCTGAGCAGGAATAGAGACATCTACATCTCTAATTGAGTCTAACAGTGGGAGAGAACTGCATCCCTTGTGAGAGCAGTTTGGAAGCTTCTTTGTGCTCATATCCATAGATACGATATTGCCCAAAATACAAGATATGGCTTTGACCTGATAACTTTCTGTGGTACCTTTAACTTATCTTTGATTTTTACCTTGAAGTGTGTACTGGATACTAAACTAGAGATCAGTATTTTGTCTTATAGCTTTTCAGGATCTCAGCTGAAGCTTGTAATGGTTTTTGTGTCTTTGCAGAACATATCTGCACCAAACTAAATCTTTAAAGATTTAAATATAGAAAAAAATATTCAAGATGCAAGTAAGTTCTGATTTTTTTAAAAAACATCATGTGTTTGTTTGCACCACTGGTGGATATCTGAAACAATGTGTTTTTGGCAGAAGAATGCTGCATTTAATTTGAAAAACATGCAGGCTTTTGAAAAAAAAGTTAAAAATTGTTAATATTGCTGAAGTCCTAGAAGCTTTGATGGAAGTTCAGAAAATCCAAACTCTGACGGGTGTGGCTTAGCTTGATTTTTTTTTCCTAAGATTATCAAACTTAAACTCTTGACCACATACAATTATTACAACAAACCATGGGGACTATGTGATCTGTGTGTCTATCAGAAATTTCTAACCTCTTGAAGTTGCCCTTGGCATTCCTTTCTTGGAGAAACGCTGTCATTCTCTTGAAACAGAAAATTGGTTCAAGTTTTAGTAATGACATAGACCTTGCCACCACGAAGCGCTTCTCTCGCTCTGGGAAGCGCTGGTGACCTGTCCCATCCCTTTTATGCTGCCACAGTATCTGTGGGCCTCTCTAGAGCATAAAAAGAAGCCAGTGAGCAGGTTCTAGTATCAACTAGCAACAGTGCCCATCAGTCTCCCTCAGTTCTTCTTTCTCTTCAGAATCTGTTGCCAACCTCAACTTTCAAAATAGGTTGTCTCTGAGTCTCGAACCATCTGTACCTCTGATCCAGGACCCAGCTGCTGCGCCTGGAAAACAAACGGGCGCTCCTCACGGGAGCGGGTTCTCCATGGCTGGAGCCATTCCCTGTGCCTTTGCGGACAGTTTGTTTTCCCGCTGTGTGCGGGCAGGACGTTAAGCTGCAAGTCACTTCTTTCCCCAGGGAAGTAATTGGTGCTTTTCTTTAACGGCATTAGGACACATTGCTGTTTCTATGACCAGATAGCTGGGGATGAACCTCTTATGCTGCTGATGTGTCCAAACAAAGCCCCCGTGTAGTAAGGAAGTGAACTAGAAGTAATTTGTCTGAGTCAGACTTTCGGATACATAAGTTACACTCCTTACCCTCCCCCAAGGCATTGTGTGAGGAATTGAGTCCCCCATTTGTGTTCCTGTTTTATTAGCATTAAAACGAAAAGAAATGAAGAGACAGCTGGGAAACCGCCTGCAAATCGTCCAAATGCTGAAGAATCACAAAAGAGCGGCACTTTCCCCCTGCCTTAACTCTGATCGGTTTTGATTTTTAAGATGAACATGTTTTGTTTACATCGGTTTTGCCCTGTCTTGCTATTACTTTCCAGGCACCTGGCTCTGTGAGATTTTGAATGCCTCTGAAGTAATTCAGTGCATAGCCCACTTTGTGGAGGAGGGAAGAAGAAAAAAAAAAAAAGGATTTCTGGATAAAACTGGAGTGTTCATTTTGCAATGAATTTCCTCCTTCAGACTTCATCTCTTTTACAGAGGCAGTTATAGAGTGTAATAGTCAAACTTATCAAAAACCTTAAGCAATGCTTGAAGAGCAGCGCAGCTATCCTGAGCTATTAATCATTTATTTAATGAGGGAATAAGGCAAGCTCGGGGTCATTTACTTGGTCAATGCTGTAGCAAGTGTTTGCAGGTGTTGCAGCAGTACCTTGCTCTGCCCTCGCGCTGCCCAAGCAGGGGCAGCACCTGCCTCTGCTCAGGGCTAGATCCTCTGCCATGGTTAGATCAGGCCGGAGAGGCTTGAAGACGGATTGTGCAAGTGCTCCTTCCCTGGTAGAAAGGTCAAGCTCCGCTTCGAACTGAGTGGGGTGAGAAACAAGAGAATGGTCTGTGGCTACTGAAGGAACTCTGAGGGCAAGGACCTTCCCCTTGTGCTGGGCCAAGGCTCAGCAGCCAGCCCAGAGCCTCGTAGGTGGCTGCTGCCAATGCCCTAACCAGATGCTCTCAGGTAGAAGAAACTGGTGTGATTCAAACTCATTTTCACCACGTCAGCACAAATATAACCTTTGGTTAGTATCTCCAGCCATGCACTGTTACCTATTTGGCAGGTTCTGTCTGTCTTCCTGGATCGTGCCAGCTTGAACAAAATGCTCTGTTTTCTAATGCTGTTTTTGAAATACAGTAGATAAGGGTGGGGGGAAGGCCTAATGCTATGCAGCATAATGTCTGTGTGCCACAGTTAATATTTAGGGGTGCTAATCTTGAGTTTTCAACTTGTATGTTCACACCAGATTGCTGGGGGAGGTAATGTTTTCTGCACTCTGAAGAATTTTCATCTGTCGTGTTTCCTTCTGCGACTAATAATGTGGAGGGAGAAAAACAAGTTAATGCTCTGTAACCCATGTATCGTTACCTCTGCTTTTGGTCTTAGTGCCTGTACTTTTTGTTTGTAATTACTGTGTAATGCAGGTTCTGATCTTGCTGACAGCATAGCATAAGGGAAGAACATAAATTCAGGTAACTCTGATTAGCGTAGCTGCAAATGATGGTAGGAGCATCTTGATTTGGGGCTTTAAAAATTTGGTGGGTGGGAATGCAGAAGAGTGGGCAGCTTGTTGCTGAATAGCTCTATCCTCTGTGAATCAACCTCTTCTGTAATCAGCACAGTACATCAACCCAGTGCAGGTTTCCTGCCAACTTTATTTAGAGATACTTTCTATATAATCAGTCTTTAGATAATATTGTTCTTTCTATAATAAAAAGCTATTTTTGTCCTATTTCTTTTAGTGTTATCATTAAGTTAAAATGTTTAAGCCAATGTTTAATTATTGCATGTTATTAACACTGTATGTAGATAACTAACACACAAATTGTATATATTCGGCATCAGCTGTGTTCTCATGTTACCAGCTGGACAGCAGCCCGTGCAGGTTTGACCACCCTGTCACATTTAGCTGCCTGATCGAACATTGCTTGGCTGGGATAAGGATCTGAGCTGCGGAGGCAGAGGTGCCAGCTGTTTGGATTGTTCGGTGTTGCCACATCTTTGGACCAAGTGAGTCAAATTGGGGCTAGGCTGGCTGATTCGTAACACATACAAACCAGACACACGCAGTGTACACAGGAAAAAAACAGGTTTATAGGAAGAAAAATGAATGGTTCCCACCCTGAATTAGCTAGAATAGCTAATCTGGTCTCTTGATATTCCTTGGGTGACTTGGCTACAGGGCAAAGTATTCCGTGGTATCCGTGTAGTCTGGCAGGCTGCGGAGAGTTGGGACTTTTACGGAGGAGATTAACCCTGCAGGCAGAGAGCTGGAGGAGTCCTGCTGTTGGTGACTGTCCTGCCAGTATGTGGAGTCTCAGCTTCAGTGCCCTGCACTGGCCATTGCCCAAATACTTGTCTTTAGGGCAGAGAGCTTGTGGCAGTGTAGGGTAGAAGATGCTGAACACCAGCCTCTTGTCCTTCCCATTAGCTAGGCAAAATTAGGACACACAAATTATATTGATGTCTCTTCCAAGTTGAGCTATGAAGAAACCTGCTGTTGAGTTAGCGGCTGCGGCAATGGAGATAAAGCAGTCCCAGCATGCAGACTGCCTGGTGGCATTCTGTCAGCAGAACGGGAGGTCCAGGTCTGGGGCAGAAGGTACCTCCTGAGATAGGAGTGCTAGGAAGCTTTGACACAAGACCTCCTGCTTCTTAGCTGCTGTAAGGCTGGTGGGTCTAGCCTGGTCCACAGAAGGGCAAGCTAACACCTCCAAACTACAGTCGTATCTTGAGACGCCTTTCTACCCTCCCATACCCCTCAAGCCTTTCTTCCCCTCCAGATGAAGCTGTAAGTGAGCTTTTTTTTTTTTTTTTTTTTTTTTCCTCTCTTTTCCCGTGCTGTGACATTGTGCTCATTGTGCTGCCGTTGGGATTAAAGGTGCCTCAGTGTCAGGGGGAACCTTTTGGGTGGTGAACTTGAAAGGAGGTGAAGTTAGAGTCCCGCTTTGGGTTTAGGTAAAATTCAGAAGCATGGTCTGTGGTGTGGAATGTTCTGGTGTGTTGGCTCCTTGTCCTGAACGCAGGACCAAGCTGCAGCTGATGAGCGCTAAATGTGTTTCCAAGACATCTCCATGCTAATGGAGGTCTTTCTCCAAGCTAAATCAGAAATGAAGCTTTTTATCTTTCCCTTTCTTCTAGTTATAAATGCAACACGAGCACAAGTGCTTTAGGGACAGATTCAGCAAGGCCAGTTTAAACAGGGTGATTAAAGGTTCATCTGAAACGTTGGACTGAGAATGAAACTTTCTTTTATTCTTGTTCAGTGTTTGGATTTGATGCATACCCCAGGCCATGGGCTCTCCAGCTCTGTTTCTGCAGGTCGAAGGGGATCAAGCAGCCCTTCCAGCCTCTGCATCCCTCAACCCTTTGGTTCAGAGCTTTGAGGGGTGCAGGAGGAAAAGGACCTCATGACTGTGAAGTTACCCAGATACAGTGGTAGAAACCTTCCCAAGGTTTTTCAGGAAGATCCCCTTGCATTCCAGCTGATCCTCAAAGGTTAGAGGGACTGGGGGCAGTCAGACTCATCCCTTGATAGAGATACCATAAGTATTTGGTATCCCTAGGCCCCACTCTGGCAGTACTGGATTCACAAACAGTCTGTCAACTGTAGGTCCAATCGCCTTCAAAACAGCGAATTGAGTTCACAAATAGCACGATTTATTCAAATGCAACATTTAGAGAACGGGTTTCGGCTGTCAGTACAGGAAATTCTCTATGACAGCGTGGGGTTCTTAGCTAGCTCTAATGTACAAATGCACAACTGTCACTCATGCAGAAGATGGGAGAGGGATCTCGACCTCAAGAAGCCTCTTCAGGCAGTGTCCTGACCTGAGGGGAGGAAAGGGGTTCAGCCCATGAGCTGATCCAGCAGTTACGATGCATGGTACAACCAGGCTGCCACCTCTGCAGGGAGCATGACAGCGTTTGGCTACGGGGCCTTCACTCTGCTCCACCCTCCGTTCACTCGTCAGCTGCACAGCACCATCGGATTACCAGCTCTGCAGGGAAACTAACAAAGTTTGGCCATGGTGTCTCCATTCTGCTCCACTGTTCGTTTACTCTTAGTAGTGTGTGCTAGGAGGGCAGATTCCGTTGCCAAGGGAGCCATGGAGAAGTAGATTCTCCACGTACCAACCACCCTGAAAGTGGCCACTGTCTCTCACCTCAAGCAAGCCTCTGTAATGTCAGAACTTCTGTTAGGCCCTAGTTTTTCTCTAATTTCCCCTTTCTCGAGCAATTCTCTCACAAGGACATCTATGGGATAAAGGTGTCTGGTTGGGACTGCTGGAAACAGATGTGTGGGAACAAGATGCGGTGTCCTGCCAGGCCACCAGCCGTGGCAGACACGCACGTCCGCAGGGAGGGTATTCGTAGATGGGATTCGTATTTGCTCTCTTAGGGATGCAAGAAAACTCTCTTTCCTCCATTCCTGCACGTGCATTTGCTGTGGATCCACCTTTGCTTTAATTTCCCTTTGCCATTGGTGCTTTGGGTAGGGACAGGAGTCCTGACAACTTGCGCATCCTTCCCTGCAGCAGCCCCAGCTAACTGGATGCTGGCCAGTCCCCGGGGAGGCTGAGGCACAACAGCCTGCCTGTTCCCGAGGTTAAGTGGCTTTGCTCACCCCTGAATAAGCTGCCGCATGAATGGAAAACACAACTTCGCCGTGGCCCTCGCTGTCCCCGTGGTTCCTGCCGCTTGGCGCTGCTGGCGTGGCAGTTTTTGTGAGCAGAGCAGGAGCAGCTGGTGCAGCAGCTGCAGCCCAAACGGTGCCGGCGGCGCCTGGCCCAGCCTCCCTGGGGACAGTAAGAGTCCCTCACTCCAGCCCGGCATTTCTGCTTTTAGTTTTTCCCTAGATGAAGGGAGCATTAACTGTGCACAATCACTGCGCCTAACTGTTGCCTATGCTTCACGATCAGGATAATCCTCCAGCCCGGAGCTTCTGCGGAGGCATCGTCCCATCCCCGCAGTGCTGGCACAGTCAGGAAGGCCCTGCCTGGGCACTGAGTTGTGTCTATGTGTATTTTTCACCCCTTTCTAATTTTGCCTGCTCATTCGGCCGAGGCGTTATCAGCTCCCCACACGCGGGTGCTGGGGGCCCAGCTGCCACGGTCACGTGGCGGGGGTGCCTTATCGGTCCCCCCGCTGCATACGGCGATGTTCCCGGCTGCCCGTCTCCTCCAAGCACTGGCTCCGACACAGGCACCTGCTGTTCCCTTTCCAAGGCAAGAAGCGTTTCTTTCCTGATGGAGAGAACAAACCCTGTCCTGGCTCAGCTGCCTCCTGAGATCCGCAGGGAGCTACTGGGGAAAGCAGAAAATATTGGGGTGGTGGCTCTGCCTCAGACAGCCCCAGCGCTGTGGCTGCTGCCAGCCCTTTGAGGGGGAGCCCTGCGTACCCTCACCCTGGAAGGCTCCTGCAAGGAGCAATTCCCAGCTGAGGAAGATGTCGAGATCCACAGCTGTTTGGGGTTTGGAAGCACAAAATGCCATGAATCACACAGGAAACGGACAGAGCAGATGGATGGTTTCAATATCCTGCTCTTTCTATGCAAGCTGGGCCCCTAAGAGCAGTAGCTTTGGAGTCCAAAGCCACAGCACAAGCAGCAAGGGAGAACATAGGTGTCCACTCAGGAACCTTCTACCCATTTTCTCCCATCAGCTCTCCAGGCCCAGGACACAGTGGGTATTTTGACCATGAAGAACCATGTGCTCACATGGTGCTGCAGGCTGGGCCAGACAAGGGCCCTGAGCTGCTGGCAGCACCGCAGCTCCTTCCTGCTTTCCTTAGCACGGGAGGGAGATGCGTTTTTGGTGACTGCTCACAACAAGTTTCAGTGAGAAGATTGTCAAAATGAGGACAGGTAGTAAAAGGTTATCATGGAGGAAGGGCCTGGTGGCAGACGGAGCATGGGGACTGCAAGGCCATGGCAGTACACTCAGACACTGCCTTTCCCAGGCAGCCCCAACTCAGCTCTCTCCATCCTGTTCCTGCCACCCAACCTACTGATGACATTGCGGGGACCTGGTTGCTGTGGGGACCTGGTTGCCCAAGAGTCCCTCTCCGTCCCTGCACCTATGGGGCCGGCCCTGCCTGCGGGAACTACTGTGGGTCACAACCAGGGGGAACCAGCCCCATGGGGGGAAACATGGGAGGAGCCGGAGGGCGTAGCGGCTGTGTGGGGCTGGCAATGGAGGGCACAGGCCACAGTGCCTATAGAGGGGCTGTGGAGCAAGAGCTATGGGGCCCAGGCTGTGCAGGACTGGCATGGGGCAGAGGCGGGCCATAGGGCACTATCGGACATGGAGCACAAGGGAGTTGCAGGACACAGGTCGTGGGACAAAGAGGGACCATGGCACTGGCTGTAGGGTGGAGAAAGGGCCATGGGAGCTGGGGCAGGGAAGATGCTGTTGGGCAGAGAGGAGGGCCATGGTGTACAGACTGCGGAGCCAGAGCGGGGAAGGGCTGTGCAGCACCGGCCAGGGGCACGAGGGCACCCCGGGGCACAGCAGACGCAGGATCCCGGGGGCACCCGCGCGCGTCCCCTTTAAGGCGCGCTCCTCGCCCTCGCGGCGCCGCCGCCGCGTC